AACCTCTTTAAAACTTTTCTTACTTAGAAAGAGATGTTTTTTTTAGTCAAAATGTCTTCAGATCCTGAAGAAAACCAGTGAAATGGAAACCACGTGATCCCGAGGCCAGGTTTTTCAGAGGAGCCGTCAGCACGGAATTCAGGCGTTCTTGCTGTGCTCAGCAGACCCGGCCCGGCAATCAAAACCATTTGATGCTAAAGCTGATACTCCTATATAACCAGGAAGGTTCCAGCACATTGTGAGCCCTGAAAAAGCGTGATTGCAAACAAAGAATGACAAGCACACGTTGACTTAATATAGCTCGCTTCTTTCAGAGAGCACACAGCTTTTCATGCACATGCTCTCACCTGTCCTTAGAAAACTCTCGAGTAGCAGGCGAGGGGCGGCTACCACCCCTATGTTACAGCACAGGCCACCAAGAGGTTCAGTGGCTGGGCCAAGGCCACACGTTGTCACCAGCTCACAGTGATCCCTCCATGAAACCCACGGAACTGATTCATCACTTATTTTTTTTAATTGAAATATGATTGATTTACAGTATTGTGTTAGTTTCTGGTATACAGCATAGTGATTCAGTTATATATATATACTTTCCCATTATGGGTTATTATAAGATACTGAATACATTTCCTGTGCTATACAGTAGGGCCTTGTTATTTATCTATTTTATGTAGTTTGTATCTGCTAATCCCAGACTCTCAATTTATCCCTCTCCTCCTTTCCCCTTTGGTCACCATAAGTTTATTTTCTATGTCGGTGAGTCTGTGTTTTGTAAAAAAATTTCACTTTTATAATTTTTTAAGTTTCACATATAGGTGATATCATATATCTGTCTTTCTCTGTCTGACTTACTTCACTTAGTGTAATAATCCCTAGGTCTATCCATGTTGCTGCAAATAGTATTATTTCATTTTTTATGACTGAGTAGTATTCCATTGTATAAATATACCACAACTTCTTTATCTAATCATCTGTTAATGGACATTTAGGTTGTTTCCATGTCTTGACTCTTGCAAATAATACTGCTATGAATATTGGGGTGCATGTATCTTTTTGAATCAGTGTTTTCTCTGGTTATCTGGCCAGGAGTGGGATTGCTAGGTCATATGGTAAGTCTATTTTCAATTTTTTAAGGAACTTTCATACTGTTCTCCATAATGGCTGCACCAAATTACATTCCCACCAACAATGTAGGAGGGTTCCCTTTTCTCCATATCCTCTCCAGCATTCATCATTTGTGATTCATCACTTATTTTTGAAGACTATGTGTGAATGTTGGAATCTTTTGTAAAAACAAAGACCTGGCCTCTGAACTTGAGAGGCTTCATTATCTACGCAAGGGTGATGTAGTATGACTCAGGGGAGGTGATCAGATTTAGGGGATATGATCATTATCATTCTGCTCAAGAAATTGCCACACTGGCTTTCTCTCATGCCAAGAATAACTGCTAGTCTTCTTCAGGAAGCACTGAGAGCCCTCACCAGGCCAGAACTTGTGCAGAATAGGAGAGAAGTATCATTGTCTTCTGCGTGCCTGTATTATCTTTTGATTGCTGTATAAAAGCTTATGACAAACTTACACATAAAGCAATACCAATTCACTTGCAGTTTCTATGGGTCAGGAGTCCAGGTACAGGTTAGCTGGGTCCTCTGCTCAGGGTCTCACCAGACACAAATCAAGGTGCCAGTCAGGGAAGCAGTTCTAATCTGGGGCTCAGGATTCTCTTCCAGGCCCGTGTGGTTGTTGGCAGAATTGGTTTTCTTGTGGTGGACGGCTAAGGTTCCTGTTTCCTTACTGGCTGTCGATTGGGAATTGCATTCAATTCCTAGAGGCCACCCGCAGTCTCTTGCTGGAAGCAGGACTCCCATTGGCCATACACAGTATAGCTGTTTGCTTTCTTCCAGGCCAGCTGGAGCCTGCCTCTCTGACACTTCATCTTCTTTTAGAGGCTCACCTGATTAGGCCAGGCTCACCCAAGATACTTTTCCTTTTGATTAACTCAAAGCCAGCTTATTAGTAACCTGATCATGGGAGGAGTATCCCATTATATTCACAGCTCCTGCTTGTACTCAAGGAGGGGGGATTAGATAGGCCATGCACAAAAGGACTCAGGAATCTTGTGGACCATTTTAGAAACCTGCATTCTGTGTCCTTCCCTCTGGGTAAGTGCTTGTCCACCTTACTGTGTTTGCTGCCTTGGCCTGCTGTGGCAAGCAGCCCCAGTCTCCAAAATAGGCTTCCATCATTATGCCTCTAAATGCACAATGATATTTTATAAGAGAAATTAATCTCAAACGGTAGGTAGCGTTTCAGACAATGCAATGAGCACTTGCTTTCATATTGTCTGAATATGAAAGCAGAGTGTCTGGCACTTAGGAGTCCTTCATTTATGTTTCTCAAGCAATGGATGCATGGATGATTAAATGAGAAATATTTTGGGCATCCTCGTCAGATTACGTGCCATAAAAAGAATGCCTACCCTCCACGTGCAAGGCTGATTCCTCCTTTTAGTTCATAGATCTTTTTTCCTCTGGTTTAAAAGTAATGCCTACTTCTTATAAAAATATTTGGGAATGTTTTTTCCTTCTATTTTTTTATATTTAATATTTTAATCCATCTGGAACTAATTTCCCAATATTATGTATAAAATAGTCCATCCCCTACCCGCTAGTTGTTTTGTTTCATTAATCTGCCACCCACTTCCTGTGCGGCATCACCCAGTTAGTTATTGGAATTTTATAACAGGTTTTAAGATTCGGGTGGGCAGGTGTTGCCTCATCATTATTCTTCCTTCCGCCCCTCTCTCCCCCAGCTCATTAAGCTCAGGTCTGTCTTGCTGCCTGCTCTTGTGCCTTAGTCAGCAAAGCATTCTTTGGCAAAATCTGGACATGGAACCAGATCTAGGTTCATATTCTGCATTTGCATCTTACTAGCTCAACGCCTCTGAGTTTCAGGTAAATGGAAACGTGCAATAATAATGCTAACAGTATAAACTTACTGTGAGAAGTAACCAGGGGGCAACTTCTAAGAATCACCCAGCACGTAATAGGTGGTCAGTGGAGTGGAGGAGTGACTCTGAAGGTCTAGGCACACAGACTGCTATCGCTCCATCCTTACCAGCAGACCCTGCAACTCTTTTGAAAGCATCTTGTACAAATGCTGAGGCTTGGATCTCTCAGACTCAGGCTAGGTGTTAGGCGGGGAGTGCCCAGGATTAATCTTGACCGCAGCCTCTTCACATTGGGGTTCACATTGGTCCAGGGGAAGTCTGGTGGTGAACTGGAGGCATTCCAGAGTGCCCTGGGAGCCTGGGGACCTGGTGTGAGTCAAAAGCTGAAGCCTACTTTACCTGACCTTCCAGGAGTCTGGGAGTGGCAGGGAATTGCTTTATCCCCAGGGAGCCTATCTCCGGACTTTGGCAGCCAGAGAAAGTCCTCAGAGCCACAAGTTACAGGTGTTGGGGACTGGAAGTCATTCTAGCACATGCCGGTTGGTACAGGTGAGGGGAGATGGGCGAGACTCTGACAAAATGGGCTGCACATTGAAGACAGAAGAAGGGAGTGTGATTGCAAGAACCCCCACAGGATTGAGTTGGCCCTGTGCATCTGCCCACAGGTTTCTAAAGGTGACTAGTCATCCTCAGAGAAGTGCGGGCACTGGAAATCCACGGCCTGTGGTGAGTTGCAGGCAGCCAGGCGTTTTGAAATCCAAAGTCTGACTTCTTTCCTGGAACCTTCCCTCCAACTCAGAGAGGGCAGGGCAGGAATGCACTCATCCATTCCTTCAGGAAGGGTCTCTGAAGGCCTACTGTGTGCTCCCGGGAGCTAGGAGAGGAGGATACACAGCTTTCATGCTACACAGTGAGGAGAAAGAGAGCATGACGGGTATCCGTGCGTTTGGGGGTCTGCTCTCTGATGACAGCAATAGGTCAATCTGCTTTCTCATTCTAACACCATCCCTGCGTGGCTTTTTGTAAAAGAACGGGTTAGATGTTCAAAGCTGGAAAGGGTCTTAGACATAATCTAGTCCAGTTTCTTTACTTTCTCTAAGCGATAACTAAACCCAGAGATGGGATGTGATTTGCCCAAGTCCACCCAGCTTCATAGCAGTGAGAGAACGTCACTCCTCTGCCCACAATTCACCATCCGAAAAAATGGGGTTGTTATTTGCCTTCCATGAAGTTTCTAGGACAGCACACCACCCGTGAGGCTGTTTCTGAAGCACAGTGAACATTCCTGAGAGAGGAAGACAGAAGTGGGTGGTGTTAGGTCTACACAGGACACGAGGAAGAAACACACTGTAAGGGTTAAGGATTAGACCACCTGAGTTCAGAAGTCTGCTCTCTACTTAAAAGCTGCATGAGCTTAAGCAACTTTCTTCATCTCTAAACCTCATCTTCTCTCATCTGTAAAATGATGACAATGGTGTTTCCTGTAGGATTTTTTATTTTAGTTGAGCTATAGTCAGTTTACAATGTTGTGTTAATTTCTGATGTACAGTAGAGTGATTCATTTTTACATAAATATTTCTTTTCACAGTCTTTTTCATTATAGGCCATTGCAAGGTACTGGATATAATTCCCTGTGCCATACAGTAGAAACTTGTTGTTTATCTGTTTTATATATAGTAGTCAGTATCTGCAGATCCCGAACTACCAATTTATTCCTTTCCACTCCCTTTCCCATAAGTTTGTTTTCTATGTCTGTGAGTCTGTCTCTGTTTTGTAAATAAGTTCATTCGTGTCCTTTTTTTTTTTAGATTCCACATGTAAGTGATACCATGTGATATTTTTCTTTCTCTTTCTAGCTTATTTCACTTAAAATGGTGATTGTTTTAAGAATTAAATGAAATATACATCAACTCCTAGCTCGGTGCCTAAAACGGAGATGTGTTACTCAAAGGTTTGGAGAATGGGTCCTGCCCACCGCGCTTGGATGCTCACAGGCCCTGGGGGTCAGACCGGGGTGTGCAACTGACATGTCCGTGTTGTGCTTTTCAGTTCCAGGAGTCCTGGAGGAGCGGCTCAGAGCGGGAGAGGGTGGCGAGAGAATGAAGAAACCAACCTCCCGGGAGAAGCATGAGGTGGCAGTGCGGCACTCGGTTTAGAGGGCCCCGGCCGGCGGCGGCCCCGTGGGCAACCCTGCTGGCCCTGGGCCTCCCCGGTTGGGTGCTGGCTGTCTCGGCCACGGCGGCCGCCGTGGTCCCCGAGCATCGTGCCTCCCCCGCCGGCCAGCCGCCCCTGGACTGGCTGCTCACAGACCGGGGCCCCTTCCACCGCGCGCAGGAGTATGCCGACTTCGTGGAGCGCTACCGCCAGGGTTTCACCACCAGGTACAGGATCTACAGGTGAGTGGGGCTTCCCCGGCAACCCAGCCTGGGTGTGTGCGCGCGGCCCCAGCCGCCCAGCCAGCTGGCAGGCCACAGAGCGCATAGCGGAGGGACCGCGGGTGGGGAGAGTAAGCCTGCCATGTTGGCTTTTTAAAAAAAAGAAAGAAGAAAACACATGCAAGCTGGAAAACCTGCTGATGCCTCCTGGGGAACTTAGCAAAAGGGTTTCTATTTATAGGTTGTGCTGCTTATAAATTGAGGACAAATCAGGCGGCATCGCGTCAGCATGTGGCCCGCACTGCTGCGGGAGGTCAGAGTCAAATGCTGGGGCCGAGTTTTAACTAATGGGTGAGGTACTTTCATGAGTTGTAATTACCTAGACATGCAAATGAAGGAAGGGCAGCCCCAGCTCCTGCCTTAGAGGTGGGGGGAGCCCAGCAGGGGCGGGGACCAGCCTGCCCTCACCCCGGTCAGCACCACAGCCTCCGCGGGCTTTGTGCATGGAAATGGGCTGGCCCTTCCCTGCCCTTCAGGCTCGTCCTCAGGTGCTTCAGAGCTGAAAGTCAAACATGGGACCTGCCTGGTCCACCTGAGGAGGGATGAAGCAGGCACAGATTCCTGGCTGCTGGACCAGCACTTCCAAAGCAAAAAGCTCCTCAAAACCCCAACCTCGGGCGATCCAGCGAACCTCAGGGTTCCCTGGAGTGCACCACTGAGTTCAAACTTCCCTTTCATCCCTCTGCCCATTCGCCCACTTAGCATCACCCCCACTTTCTCTTCACTTTGACCGTAGTCTTCAGACAATCCTGGGAGCTTTGGTGGAATTTTTTTCTTTTATTCAAAGACATTCATTTTCCGATTACAGATTAATTTATAATGCAAGAGAGAGAGACACACACACACAGAGGAAGAATATATGAAAAAGGAGGGGGGGTGCTGCGGGAGGAGAGACTATATGAAAAGTACAAAGGGAAACAAGGCTGGAAAGTCACCTATTCTTTTAGCACCTAGAGGTTGCTATTGCTAACCTTGGGCCCATGCGTTCCTAGTCATACGAATGTGCTAAAGGTTTCAGCCCTTTTGCTAGACCCAGCACTTTACGTGCCTTACGTACGTGAGCTCATTTAATGCTTCTAACAATCCTCTGTTGGAAGAACAATTATTCTCCCCTTTTGCAACATGAGGAAATTGGGGTCCAGAGACGTTAAGGAACTTGCTAAGGGGCACAGAGCAAATAGTGAAGGCAGAATTAGCTCCCAAGTGGTCAGACTCCAGAGTCTAGGTTCTTAAATTATACTTAAAGAAATTATATTTTTCTGTTTCTGAGAGTTTTTTTTTTTTAACTTCTGCAGTAACCATGCAGTCCATTTAGTTTAGAACAGGCTCTCAGGAATAAGGTTTTCAGGTTTTAAGGTATTTAGCACCAGGAGATTCCCAGACGGTAAGGGCAGCTGTTTACAGAGGCCGTTCTGCTGGTACATGGATCCCATACACAGATGCAGACAAAGGGCCAAGACAAGGTATTCATGGGTGCAGAGGTATGTAGTCACAAAATCCTGCTCTCAGGAATAGCCTGCCCTCCTTTCAGGCCATTTCTTTCCAATCTGGCCTTAGAAGGGATTGCAGTTCACACTGTCTGCTTCAGTGGCTCTGGTCCCTGCTCTCCTCCAAAGACTAGAGTGGAAATTCACACAGGGCCACTGAGGCAGAGAGCAGCCAGCTCAGGCTGGGAGTGGCCGAGCTAACACCTGCTCCGGCACAAGTAGGCAGACAGAAGAGGTTACCTCGACTCTCAGTACACGTATAAGACACTAGACTGCGTCCCACAAATTTTCCATAAGGCACATTCCAGGTGATATTCCTCTTTATCCAAGAATTTCTTTTTCCATCTCCCCCCACCCCCCAAAAAAGAGAGAGAGAGAGAGAACATCCACCCTAGAATGTATTTATGTAGTGAATCCTTTCAGTCCAGGAAAACAAGACTGAACTTATCTCAGACTGTTTAGTTTATCCCAGATCTTTCAAAAACACTGTTGTCACCAAAAAAAAAAATATATATATATATATATATATATATATATATATTTAAAGTATATTGGAACTAAAACGTTAGGCTGGGAATCCCAACACCACCGTTCACATCAAAGGGCTATTGGGGGTGAAGCGCCAGTTTCCTTCTCCCCTCAATAGGTTTTTCTTCCCATCAAGCCCCAGCCCCAAGCCTGGCAGCCCCCAAATGCCTGAGTGGCCGCTCGGAGCTGGCCTGTGGGGAGTGTCTGTAATCACTGTGCGCCGTCCACCGTTCTATCAGGCAGTAATGGTTTTTTGATCATTTAATGTGACAGACTCTTACCATGTGCCAGTCTGTTTCTCTGGGGTCACTTATTGCACATGAACCTGTACTTGGGGAAACAGTAACTAGTCATTCTAACAGGACTGTGGCGTTCTCATTTGCGACCCCTTGGTGGGACGACCAGAGAGTGGTCCCCTGCGGCTGCTCCCGGAGCATTCTGGGAGTCCTGCCTCCAGTTCTCAAGCAAAGTGGTGGACTCATGGAAATGCAGGACTCCGTATTGTCCCCCTGGGAACTCGCTCTAATCCCTTCCCTTTTTGTCTCTAGGGGCAGTTCCCTCTGGTAAGTTCAAGACCTTGCTTTCTCTAACTAGAGGGGGTCACAGAAAACTGGTGAAATATCCACTGAAGGTCATCCCCAGTGACTAGAAGGGCGTTTTGTCCAGAAGGGCAGGGGGAGAAAAAGCTTGCAGAGAATGTCAGAGATGATCTGTGGTAAAATATAGGATCTTGAACAGAATTAGTCTTTTATTCAATTCTGTAAGAAAGCTTTTGGTGCCTAAAAGTCAGATGGCATCCGCATGTGCTTTCTATATAAGGAAGGAGATGGACCGTGATGGGGGAAGAAGACTTTCCAGTGGGGCTAGAATATTTGGTGCAGAATTACATGACGCTCTCTCGCACAGCGGAAGAGAGACCCTTCTTGCCTTCTAACATTGTAACAATTAGACAACCATGTTCTAATATTAAGCTCCACATCCCAGCTATTCTTACTTGGATATCAGATTGTGCTCCCACTTGGAGGAGATAACTGGTCGTCCCAGAAGAGCTCTGGCCTCTCTAACCGTGTGTCCCCAGGGACTGCTGCTCTCTCCATTTCACGTTTGTATTCTTGTAGGCAAAGGTGCTTCCGAGTGAAGGTTCTGGAGCCAGATGACCTGGGCTGTATTCCTGGAGCTGCAGCTTACTAGCTGTGTAATGTTGGGCAAATTATTTAATTTCGTTGTTTCCCAATTTCCTTATTTGTAAAATTAGGACACTAATAGCACCCGCCTAATGGATTGACATGAAATTAAGTGAGTTAATTGATGTGGAACACTTAGAAGCATGCTTAATAAATATTACCTATTACTAGGGTATCCTCAACAAATATTAACCAATGAGAAAATTATAATGAGGTGAGAGCCATGGGTGCCATCTTTGTGATGACATCTGCTGAGGGCTTAGCATGTGACAACTTGTATTAGGAGGAAAAACATGTTCTCTTGCTTTCCTTTTTAAAGTATGTTAACTTTAACTCTGTCTGTCTGTCTCTCTGATGGGAGAATGAATGAATCTTCTCTGGGGCACACTCTTACTGGTCTTGTGGGCTACCAGAAAGAGCTGGAGCATTTCCAGCATGTTTCAGAGTCTCCGCAGGTACAGATCTTTCCCCTAAAGTAAGGGATTGCCAACTGAACAGGCTTTCCTTAAGACATCCTACAGAAGCAGGTCACTGGTCCCTGCCAGATCCTTGGTCTCAGAGATGACGTGAACAATGTCAAGATGGCACCATTGCAAGCAGAGAGACAATATACATTCATGTTGAACCTTACTAAATAACACAGTGTGCTTGGCTATCTCATCCAATTTTTGGCAAGCTTTTAAATTCCATTAGCCAGCCTCTCAGCATATCAAGCCCGGTCAGACCAAGATCTGAGTAATCAGCCCACTTCTCAGACACTGCCTCATAACAGGCTAGCAGTAAGAGCTGTAAGAGCAGAGGTTCTCCAGTTCCATTTGTGACCCCCAGCTACCTGCCTTTCCTCCACTCTAAAGCCCCCACTGCAACAAACACTTAAGTGATCAACCTCTCACAGCAGCCCTGTGAGGCTAATGGGAGCTATTAGGGTTCAAGGCAGTGAGACGGACTTGTTCAAGGTCAGACAGGTAGCCAGTCACCGCCAGAAACAATACTCAGAGCTCCTGACTTGAAGTCTCCTGCTCATTACTCTAGACCACGCCACTTCCCTTTGACTGGTAAGTGCATCTTCATCATAACACGCAACCTAATCAGGCACCTAAATTGAGCTGATGCAAATGTAAATATGGTTTCTCGAAACACTCTAGCGGTAATGTTCCATTCTCTCTTTGCTACAAATCAAAGTAATGAGGAGTCTGGTTTTTTTTTTTAATTTCTTTTTGTATTAAGGCTTTAATAGAGAGATAATCATGGAATTGGAAGAAATCCAAGCCACTATGATGAAACACTTAAAACTCGGAAAGAATAAATTAAAATTAAGAGAGAAAGTTAGAAATTGTACAGAACAATGAGTATAATATCGTGGGTGGGAGAACAGCAGGTAGAATTCCAAATTATTGACCTTCGGCATCATTACCTCCATTTCTATCTGCCTCTCTTTCAGAAAGGAAGGATCTGGGGGTATGTTAGAAGTCTTCAGGGAGAAAAACAAACCAAAAATAAATAAAATAAATAGATATCTTCATAGGGACAAAAGACCATTATATTCTGATCATGTTCCAGGCAAAGTTTGCAAATTTTGAGAACCAAAGTAGAACAAAGCTTAAAACCAAGAGGGTGGAGCGGTACCCAAAGGGAGGCAGTGTAGAAGCATGGGCGTGTTTTAGCAGGTGCATTTGAAAATACCCAGCAAGGCAACCAGAGATAGAGTCAGATGACGTGGTGAATGAAGGCAGTTAAGGCAAAAAGAACTTTTCAGCAGCCA